ATTCAACATCATAATCTTTCAAAAATTTCATCCATATTCTCTGTCTCATATTTAACTCTTTTTGATCAAACAAGTATTTAAGACTTTTATGGTCACTAAAAACCTCAAACTTATTACCATACACATAATGTCTCCATATTTTGAGTGCAAAAATGATGGCAGATAGTTCTAGATCATGAGTTGGATAATTTTTCTCATGTGTTCTTAATTGTCTAGAAACATATGTGACTATCCTTTTATATTGCATAAGAACACACCCTAGTCCCATTTTGGAAGCATCATAAAATATCACAAAGTGTCCAGTAGGGTTGGGGTAATGCTAGTATAGGGGAAGTGGTCAATCTTTTCTTAAGCTCTTGAAAACTATTTTCACATTTTCTATCCATTCAAAAGTTTGACCTTTCTTGGTGAGTTAGGTTAAAGGCATAGATATTATAGAAAATCCTTCAAAGAATCTCCTATAATACCCTGCCAAACCCAGAAAATTACGAATCTCAGTCACTGTTTTGGTGAATCCCATCATAGAATTGCTTCCACCTTGTTGGGTCTACTGATACTGCTTCTTTGGAAATCACATGGCCTTAAAATTTCACTTCTTCTAACCAAAATTCATACTTAGATAATTTAACATACAATTGTTTGTCTTTCAAAATCTGAAGAACAGTCTAAAGGTGTTCTTCATGCTCTTCAAGAGTCTTAGAATAAATAAGAATGTCATCTATAAAAACTACAACAAAATGATCTAAAAATGGATGCAAAATCCTATTCATATAATCCATGAATATTGCAAGAGAATTTGTCACACCCAAAGACATCACTTGGTATTCATAATGACCATACTTAGTTCTAAATGCAGTTTTTTGTACATCTTCTACCTTTACTCTAATTTGGTGATATTCTGATCTTAAATCTATTCTAAAAAACACAAAAATTCCTCTTAATTGATCTAGCAAATAATCTATTATAGGAAGAAGGTATTTATTCTTTATAGTGAATTTATTTAACTGATGATAGTTTATATACAACCTAAAACTTCCATATTTCTTCTTAACTAACAAAATAGGGGCTCCCTAAGGTGATACACTAGGACGGATGAATTATTTCTCAAGTAATTTTTCTAATTGTTTCTTCAATTCTATCAATTTAGAAGGTGACATCCTATATGGTGTCATAGAAATTAGTCCAGTTCCAAGCATCAAATCTATTGAAAAATTCAATCTCTCTGTTAGGTGGCAAACCAGAAATATCATTAGGAAAAACTTCAAGAAAATTTTGAACATTGGTATATTTTTCAAATCTACTTCCTTATTTACTTCCATAATAAATAGTAACAAATATACTTGAATTTTGTTCTTCAAATACTTATTTACTTATTTGGTAGATAAATTCAAAAGATCCTCAGAATTTGAAAATATTATTGATTTTTTTGCACAATTAAGAAAGACTTGATTGAAAGATAATCAATCCATACTTAAGATTACATCTAATTGAGAAAAAGGTAGAAAAATTAAATTTACAAGAAATTTCCTATTTTCAATGAACAAAGGACAATCTAGACAAACTTTTGGAAACTAAAGACTTACTTGTGGGAGTTGAAACAATCAAACTAGTGTTTAGAAAAGAAGTTGACAATTCAAGGTGTTGGACACAATAATTGGAAATAAAAGAATGAGTTGTGCCTAAATCATGTAGTATATTTAAAGTTTTGTCTTTAATAAAACATATACCTTAGATCAAATCATTATTTTGAGAGACTTCAATTTTAGTCATGGTATACACTCTTCCTGTCGTCGGAGGTCTTATTTTTGGTGTTGAAGGATTAAAATTTGGTTTTTGTTGCTGACATTGAAAAAATATATGACCATATTTTCCACACTTAAAACAGGCAGGTCCTTTAAGATGACAATCTTTAGCGTAATGATCGTATCTACATTTAAAACACTTGAGCTTCTTATTTACAGGTTTATTAAAATTACTTGCAGAAAATTGACTGAGTTAGGTTTCCATTATTTTGTCTCCTGTTATTTTGTTAGGGTCCAAAATATTTTGCTTTACTATTGTGATGATTTTCAAAATCTTCCAAAAATGTGCACTTATGAATAAGCGTAGGAAAATCATAAATTTCTAATATTCCTACTACTTTTCTCAATTCAGGTCTAAGTCTATTATCAAATTTTATACACTTCACCTTTCATCAGGGTGATAAAAGAATACAAAGTATTTTCCTAGCTCTTCAAACTTAGATGCATATTCTCCTACTATCATACCTCCTTGCTTTAATTGCATAAACTCTATTTCTTCTGCTCTCCTCACATCATTGGAAATTTTTTTCTAAAGATTTTGTTCTAAACACCTCCCAAGTAATGATTATTCTTCCGCCTTTTAATAATCTCTTGGTATTATCCCACCAATATTCAACATCTCCTACTAACATAAACACAATTGTCAGGACAATTCATAACTCGAAATATTTTTTTCTAATTCTTTAATCCATAATTCAGTCTTTTCTAGGTTATAAACTCCAAAGAATTGCGGAGGTTTGTTTCTCCTAAATTCAACTAAACCTTGTGATTCATTGGTTCCTGCAGGTATTTGATTCCTTAATAATGCAACAATCATTTCTCTAATAGCTTGTACTGCTTTTATCAACTCATTATTCTTCCTATTATTTATCATCTAGAATTATACAAGTTAGATTCATAAGATTTCATAATAAACTCATTTCATAGATCACACATGAAACGTTGTTCTGATATCTTTTAATGTGACATTTTTTTTACACTCGGTAGCAAGTAAAATAAAGATGTTTTATATATAAATGAAATTTACATTACTATTTTTTTTACAAGTATATATAAAAGAAGAATGAATTTTATTTGTGTTTTATTCCTTTTATTCTTACTACAACTATACAACTATTTACATTGTTGGTGAGAACAAAATAATTAAGGGATTTTGGTGAATGGTAGAAGACATGCAAAAAGTGACTACTATTGGTTCGTTGAACACGATGGGAGTTCCTATGTAAGATGGAAATGCCAATACTCGATAATTTTGTCCCTCTAAAAATAACCAAGTTGTCAATAATATTTGTGTTCCAAGTAGTTCTTGGAAAGAAGACAGTGATGCTTGCAAAAAAGGGATTTAGGATATTTGGCGCCTCTACCTACTTAAGTTGGTATTTAAGTATAACATGCATAAAAGATCACAATAGGGAGTAAGAACAATTATCATTTAAAATAATACAATCTTATAATGATATATAAAATATACTTTTCAACTTCCTCAATATATTCAATGTTATGAAGATTCAAATTAAATTTGTACTGACTAGTTAGGGTAAATGAGCCCAATTTTAATCACTCTCTTAGTGATATCTACTCATTTCAATCCTAAGACTCAACCTCCATCTACAATCGGGGATGACAAAACGAATAATATGAAGTTTTATCAAATAAAAAAGATATAGGTATTTGAATTTTTCAATATAAAAATATAAATTTTATAAGTTTTAATGTTATATATATATATATATATATATATATATATTTGTTATTATTTATTATTATGTAAATTTTATTATTGTTCTAAATTATAATTTCTTAAAATAATGTATTGATTTGTATTATTAAATTGAAATAATATATATATATATATATATATTGAATTATTAACAAATAAATAATAATCTTATTATTAAATTTATTGAAAATTTTGATTTTAAAAAATAAACTATTTTTTTCTAAATTATGGCGTGGGCGGACCAACGTCTACAACCTGTCATGACTATAACAGTCAGCCCGCCCGCTTTTGCGGCCAAAGCGGGACACACTGACCCGTTTTGTCATCCCTATCTACAATATTATCAAATCTTCATAAATAGATATTATTATTTAAAAAAATAAACAATATAAATATGAATTAATAAATAATTATTAGTGCATAAGTAGAGATAATTAAAATATGACAATATCTCGAAGATAAATAAATAAACATAAGATAGTATAAGTAGGTAACTCGAACATAATTAAAATAGTGACAAGTGCATAACTTTAGATAAATAAATAAATATAAAATAATTAATAAGTAATTGGAGATAAATAAATAAGTAATAATAAATAAAATGATATTAAAGACACCTCACTCCATAATCATAATTAGATAAAATGATAACAATATTCTCCCCTACCTCGTATATGATATACCAAAATTTGTTTTTAAGTTATTTTTTTCTCTCCCTCTCTTTTTTTCTTCCTTCTCTCTTACCTTTTATTTTTTTTTCTATCGCACCTTACCCCTTTAGAGCATCTCCAATGGTGGATTCTTATAATAACCTACCTTAGGTTTTTAAATGGGACCCATAATACTATATCATATTTAAACAATTGTTTTTAAATTTTTACAAATTCACTCCAACGTTGTATTCTTATAAACAACTCATCAATCCCCATGCAAATTTTCTTTCTCTCTTCTCTGTCACCCTCCCCCACTAACACGAGAAAAAGTATGATATTTATTTAAAATTATTATATTGATTTTAAATTTGATTGAAAATATTTTAAAATATAATTTAAGATGAATATTATATATCACCTAATAATTAAAAGTAAATTATATAATTGAAATTAATATATCCATTTCTATCTTTTAATATTCATCAATTACTTTAGTTAATAAATTTATCAAATATTTGAAATATAATAAATTAGTTTAACCCTTTGAACTAATAGTTATAAGTTTTTGGTTTTGTAACTATAAGTACACATTTTTATTTTCTATTTACTTTTTCAAACTACAAATTTGCTTTTGTCAATTTTGCCCCTGAATAGTTTTCTACTACTGATACAGCGCGCAGAATCTCATATGTTTCCTATTGACCCTGTCCTGCTACTACATCACGCTCTCTTTTCGTATTCTTTCCGTTGTATTAACAATTTGGTTTGTGCGTTACGTTTGCGTTGCTTTGTGCTGTGCGTGTGAGAAAGTGCGCTTGGTCAAGCATGGCTTTTCAGCTCCTGCGACGAACCTTCGGAGGGCGCTTCCTGGCAAACCCTAGGGCCTTCTCCTCCGCTGCTTCCACTCCGATCCGTGCCACACTCTTCCCCGGCGACGGCATCGGCCCCGAGATCGCCGATTCCGTCAAACAGGTTCCCGTCTCAAAAATCCTTTCGCCTTTTTCAGATTCGCGAAATCGCTTTCAATTCCGATGACTTTGTTTATCTGTTGTGTCTGTGTTTCTGATTTACTATCGCTAGTCTGTTTTTACGTGAAATTATATACAATAGCTGACCAGGCACCCAGAAAAATAGTAATCCAGGATTTCCTTTTTCATTCCGAAAATATGTTTAAAATCTAAATAGTTCGAGGGTAATTCGCTTTTCCTTTAAATAATTTTTAATGTTTATGTTTATAAACTTAAAAGAAACCGTTTTATTAACCGTTAGTGAATTGTTTTCTCATTTTAGTTGTTCTTGACGTGAAACTGGGTAGAATTTTGATGTTAAACCTAAGTTTCATTTTCATAATAAATAAATAAATCTAAATTGCCGCCTGTGGTTCATTGCGTGATTCCTGCGAGTGTATAATTATCTACGGTGTCATGTTTCTAGCATGCAATATGAATTCTCTCTTGAGCTACAGCTGCAGTTGCTTTCTTTTATTTGTGGTTTCTCGATGTTTAGATTGTGGAAAGGGACGGTAAATAACACATTTGTCGCAACTAGTATGGGATGTTGATGTGGCTAATGATTATGGTGTCAGTGTCGCTATGGCTTGGTAATGTGTGCGAGTGATGATAGATATAATATAACTAACTTCTTCAAGAAGCTATATGTTCCTTTACTGATACGCTCAAGTTTCATCTTTATGCTGAGTTTTGTTTTATATATTTTTCAGTAGTTTGTGATGTACCTGATGTAGCTCTTCATTTTTATATACTATGAAGCAGAGACAATGACATAGACACAGTTAGAGATTGCAGGGCATGAACTCACAGACAGGCACATAATTTAAGATTTAAGGAACAAGATTCTTTGTTCTTAATAGTGTGCCTTTTAATATTTTTAATTCCTTGGCTTTGATTGTATGTGCCAAGACCTGCTATTTTGCAAGCCATTATTGGAAAACACGGGGCATCATATGTGCGAAGAAATGCTTTCTATACCTTAATTTCCTTATATTAAGGTTGTATTGATTGTTTTACCTTTCTCCCTTTGCCATGACACTGCAATCTGTTCTGGTCTCTAATCATTCGCTCCTGGTTGCTATTGAAAGTGATCTCTGATAAACATTCTGTATACTTTATTCTTTTTCATCTCTCTTGCTATATTTTTGCTTGGTTGAATTTATCTAATACTCTGTCAGTTATTGCTATTGTGATACTAGATATTTGAAGCAGCTGAAGTTCCGATAGAATGGGAAGAACACTATGTAGGAACTGAAATTGACCCTAGAACGCAGAGCTTTCTCACATGGGAAAGTTTGGAATCTGTTAGGAAAAATGGGGTTGGCTTGAAAGGGCCTATGGCCACCCCTATTGGTAAAGGACATCGCTCATTAAACCTTACTCTTAGAAAAGAGCTCAATCTGTATGCCAACGTTCGACCTTGCTACAGTCTTCCAGGCTACAAAACTCGATATGATAATGTCAATCTAATTACGATCCGTGAAAATACTGAAGGCGAGTACAGTGGACTTGAACATCAGGTAAATTTCACAACAATTGATGTCACTTACTTCATCTGAACTAAGATCAATATATTTTAGTATTTTTGGGTTTCAGGTTGTGAGAGGTGTAGTGGAAAGTCTCAAAATCATTACACGCCAAGCAAGTTTAAGGGTAGCTGAGTATGCTTTCCATTATGCCAAGGCTCATGGAAGAGAGAGGGTTTCTGCCATACACAAAGCCAATATCATGCAAAAGACTGATGGTCTTTTCCTCAAGGTCTACCATTATACATGACGAAAAATACTTGGTCTCAAAATTTATTCATGAATTCTACTATTAATAGTTTTTCTTTAAAATTATTTCAGTGTTGTCGTGAGGTTGCTGAGAAATATCCTGAGATAACTTATGAGGAAGTTGTCATTGACAATTGCTGCATGATGGTAATATAGTGAATTAGATGTATGTTAAAACTGCATTTCGAAAATACTTTGAATATTAGGAAATTAATGACACTTGTTTTTCTGACCATCCACAGCTTGTGAAGAATCCTGCACTTTTTGATGTACTGGTGATGCCTAACCTTTATGGTGATATTATCAGCGATCTTTGTGCTGGCTTGGTCGGGGGATTGGGTTTAACACCAAGGTGCTTTTACTATTTTATCCAAAGAAATATGAATCTCACAATTATATCATCTGATAATGTTGACTGTCTTTTTGCAGCTGCAACATTGGTGAGGGTGGTATTGCACTTGCAGAGGCAGTACATGGTTCAGCACCTGATATTGCTGGAAAGGTGAGCTGTGAACGTACTCATTCTACCTTGTATTATCTGTCCTATACCTTTGTGCCCCTGTTGTCATAGAATGTGATAGTTTTTCAAGAGTTTGTTGCAAGGCATTGGATAAATTAATAGGGAAAACTTTTGGCACCATCCTAGTTCAGGTTGGAAATTGGCTTAAGCTGATAGGCTTTGCCTAAATAAACATTTACCTGAATGCAAAATGTTAGCCTGAGCCTATCCTATACTTGTCATAGGCTTCATTTTTTGGGATCGGTTTGTGTGAAAGCCCATAGAGAAAATACACTTATATTTTTCAAAATTGAAATTAGTATAGTCTTTAATTAAATTATTATATTTTGCATACAGTTAAAATGATGTATTGATTTGTAACAAATTGTTTCTGACATATCTAATAATATATAATAATAAATAATATGGGTCATCTTGGTAGGCCACTTGAACTTTTTAAAATTCCTAAGCCTTTTGCCAATACTCCTTTTAGAAGTTCAAGTCTTGTTTGCTAAATAGTCTAGGTAGTAAGTAAAATATATGTGGGGACACTGGGCTGTAATGTATGCTCTTTAGAAGATGTCTGGCATGTTCTCTTCGTATCCTTATCAGAGTCGTTAATGGATTAACATTTGTAACATTTTACCCACTGTTTCTACACTCTGTAGTTTTTCTTTTGCATTTAAGGCCTAACCCCTATGAACAGCTTTAGTTATTCATAATATGTAGATGCTGAAACCTAAACCAGTAAGAATACTTGCTTTTAGCAAAAATATTGATAAGGTAAAAAGTTTTCATATAACATGAAACTGTTTAGAAATTGAAGATATAACAAAACCTTAGAGGTGGTGGTTGTCATTTGGAGACTGTTGGTATTGGGTATTGCTTGTTTGACTGGCAAATCAACTTTGGTGGTGTATTTTGCTCAATGATATTCAAGGATTTTCTCGTTAGTAGGTCGCTATGATATTTAGCATTATTTGTCTTTGTAATAATCCCCTAGCGGTTTTTCTTTCCCAGAAGTCAAAGTTCTAATATTGAAGTAAGTGAAATTTTGAGCTCAATTAATGAAACTCTTCTGTTGATACTTTTTACTGTATCAAAATTAGTCCTTTCAAGAAGCAAGCTCTACCAATTTGAGTTTCCCATTAAGAAAATTCTGTCTACAATATAGATGTTCTTTGTTCCTTTTGAGAATGATCTCTTAAACTAAAGCTATATTTGGAGAGGATTTGGCGCCACCGTCAGATTGTTCCCTTGTCTCTTAAAATCTATTTTGGTAAATTGATTCGTAAGCATGTATAAAAAGAAACTAAGATAAAAAGTGAGAAGTTTTTTTAACAGGGTAAAACTAATTTATGTACAAGTTAAAAAACTGATTTTGGAGAAACTAAATAAGAGAAACTTTCCAAATTATAAGCTAGTTTTAATTTGTATAGAAACATTTTTTTTTCTTATTTTCTTCTCCTAGTGATGCTTATAAAGAAGTTTAGATAAACAAACGCCGAAGCAGCATCCTATCTCTCGCGGAGTAAGGTTGCATTTATCATCTACCCTTCACAATGGATTGAAACGTAGGTCACCTCTTTTTTTTACTGAGATATACTTTACCTGTGTATTCATGTAGAATTTGGCAAATCCAACTGCTTTACTGCTAAGTGGTGTTACAATGTTGCGCCATTTGAACCTCAATGACAAAGCGGAACAGATTCAAAACGCCATCCTCCAAACAATTGCAGAAGGGAAGCACCGTACTGCTGATCTTGGTGGCAAATCAAAGACAACTGAATTTACAAAAGCCATCATCGATCATCTTTAAATTTTGGTTTGGAGTCAGCAAGAAATTCTTGCTTATGATTTTGATTTTCAGTCAACTTCCTTTTTATTTCCCCCTATTTATCCGAAACAGTGGTATTACCTCAGCTTAAAGGAAAACTCAACTAAGTGTATGTGACATTTTACAACCAAAGACAAGGATGGGCAAGCATTCAAATATTGGCTGCCCCACTGCAGCCATGTGGCATTGAGAGGGGTCCTTTCACAATGCACATTGATTGATAACCCTTGGTAGTCCTTTTTAGTATTCTTTGTCAAAAATATAGCACGCAAAATAAAAAAACCAGATGATGTTTCATTTGTTCATCCCCATGACCTTTCTTTGTGCAGGATATTGTTTGCATTAATTTATTTTCTTGAAATTATATTTAAATTTGTGACTTGTTTGTGCCCCTTTCTCTTTTAATGAGACTAAACCATGGATGGGTTTTGTACCCAAAGTCTAGAAATGCTATTCTTATTTGAAATGTTTTTGCTCATGAATATGCCTAAACTAACAATTTATGTTCCCTGCAACCCAATTTCTCCAAATGGGATTATTACACCTCGTTAATGACATCTGGTTGATAATATTGGAATTTGACCACCGAATTTGTAATTTAACATTTATTAATAACTTGTATGTGATTTTTATCTACTCGATCCTTCAATTATGATAATAAATTATCTTATTTGTTTGCGTTTAATACTGTCCAAATTGAATAGAATTAATATGGTAGTTTTTACAATTGGAGTGTGTTTTGATTGTGCATTTTATAATTTTGTTTTAGCTGTTTATTCATACTAGAAGTTTTAATTATTGCTTGTAATTTTATAACATGCGTTAATTTTGGTTGAGTAAAATATATTTCTATTTTTAAGAAACTGAATTAAATATTTTGTCTTTAAAGATTTTTTTTTAAATAATAAATTATATTTATTTTAAGGATTTAGAAAAATGTTTAGATATATCACATTAAATTGTATTAGAGATATTACCAAATGTTATTTGTATTGATTATTTAACTTTTTCTCGAAGAAATAAATAGTTAATTCAATTGTAGACATCAACAATTTGATTTCAATTTTGAGGATGTAAATAAAATAAAACCTCCTAGAAAGATTAATATCAGAACTTATTCATTTAATTCGGATTAGTAACATATTTAAGTTAAATTGAGTAATAAGATAATCAAATAATTGTAAATTAATATAAAGTTCTATGAATATAATTTCTGATAGTTTATAACTCAGTAATGAGGTTTGGTATATATTCTTTTAATTATTAAAATTATAAAATAGTATAATATTAGGTGAGAGTTAGACTTTTTAGGTTTTGTTTTTGTCTTAGATTATTTTAGTAATCAATTATATATTTTAATAATCAATTAGTATATTTTTTTTATGATTAAGCTAGTTCATAAGTGATTTTAAGATAATTAATTTTTACTAGATATAAAAAATTACTTTTTTATGTGAAGAAAATTTGTATGAAAATTACAAGAAAAAAATGTTGAAAAATAATTATAAATAATGTTTTACAAATTTAAGATATCATTTTAGACATGGTTGTTTTGTATTTTTTTTTTTTAAAGAACTGAAATCTCAGCTTTCACTTGTGGAACATATGATAGAAAAATTTTAAGGGGTGAAACATTCAAGTTATTTTTTAGAATAACCTTTCAAATCAAGTACTGTGTTATTAATTATTGAATCCGAATTTGTTTATTGTAACCGCATCTTCATAGCAAATTTATTTTTCTTTTCTTTCGGGGTTATCTCCAATTCAACAATGATTCGTGAGTGAATTGATTGATAAAAATAATAAGAGATTAATTTAATATACTCAAAGTCTATTACTTCAAAGAATAACAAAAATAATAAAATAAAAAGAATAAAATAATTCTTCCACCAAAACTCAATTCATTATAAATGTTGTTGTTCGATAATTATATCAACATCTTTTTGTTAAAACAATAATTTCTAAAATGTTTACTAAACAAACTGATATAATAAATCAAAGTAAAGTCTTGCATAATGAATAATGAAAATTGGTAAATACATAATCAGGCCAACTCTCGTAATCAAATCAATTATGTATGAAATATGTTAAACATATACGTAATTATACAACTCACATAATCAAAATAATTATGAATGAAATATTATATTAAAGCTTGTAAATTCGAAAATTACTTGAAATTTATGATAAATTTGGTTATATTTATTTAAATATATTAAGTTTTTTTAGGATAAAGGAGAAATTCTCGTAAATAGACATAGTCAACCTTATAAGATCATTTTTAATTTAAAATATTAAGATTAGATTTTGGGTTTCTCTCACTTATAACTTATTTAATTTTTTTCCTTTTATTCAAAATGAAGCTTTAATTTATACTTAAATTCTATATAATATTCAGGAAATTATTTATATTAGGGTGACAATAATATTTTGTTAAAGTTTTTATATCGACAGTAAATGTTAATATAAATTTTGATTAGGGCTGATTAGAAAACTGAAGGTAAAGAATGGATCCATCTATTTCAAAAATCAAGGTAAAGCAGTGAAAAAGTTAAAACCTTTCCATGGTGGTGAACCACCAGCAAAAAAGTGGTTCTGTGAATGAGCTTCAATGTATTATTATTTTGGGAGAAGAAGGTTTTGCAGAGCAGGAATAATTAACTATACAATGAAACTTTAATTATTAGATTATTTGGGACATTAATATATGTAAAAAAAGAAGAATAAATTGTCAGAATATGATCTAGTCCGTTTATTATTTTAACATTATTTATATGATGATTTAGTGAATGTGTGTTGTTCTATTCCACTGCACATGGCTTGTAAAGATTTGAAAGAGTTATATCTCAGAATGTATTGATTGCCAGGATTTGACCTATGTCCCTGCATACTCTTTTTAAATCACTATAGTCAATTTTTACAAGTCCGATTCATTAAGTAAGTAGATTTTTTAGGTCTATTCCATAAATTTGGAGACTAATCCTTGATATTACCATATTTTAAACAAATCATATAAATATAAATAACTGTACGTATCCGGTTATTAGCTTTTATCGGATTGAGATATTAGGTATTGATGGATATATCAAGGATAATATATCCATAAATTACGACCAATTTTAAAAAAAATATTTAGTATTTTTTTATAATTATGAAAATCATTCATATTAACTATATTTTATATTATTATTGATTTAAGTATTGAATTTTTTTTCTTTTTGAAATGATTCATTTTTTTTTAAAAGAAATAGTATAAAGCTCCATCAACCTCAATTTTAAAAGTATTTCATAGTTATTGTGGGGTAAGGTAAAACTGTCCCTCACCGTAACCTATGATTAAGACGAAACATTAATGAAGTTATTTACTCTTAAACATGAATATAATGATATAATTTCCAACTTTAAAGTTTATATTAAAAAATATAGTAATTATAAGATAACTTGATTACACTACATAATAATGATCAAGTCCGTGTCACTTTTATTGTTATCTAAGAAAATTTCAATCCGATAATAATATTATTATCATTTTATACGAATAACTACAAAAATCGTTTAAGGACAAACCAAAACATGTAGATACTTCCATCCGAGTAAATACCTCCACAACAATGTGTTGAATATTTAGAGTTTGAAGGACGACTGAATCTCACCAATTTATTTAATTTTTTATTATAAATACTTATGAAATTGTAAACTTAATTAAACAAATAAAAATTATCATTTATTGTAGTCATAGAGGTATGTCATTTTAAATGAACCACATAAGTGCATTTGTGTTCTCTAACAACTCGTATAAGTGTTGGAAAATTAATAATAATTATGATCCTGATATTGATTATAATGATCAAACATAAACGTAATCTCATACTGGTAAACATGTTGTAAACTGAAAGCGTACCTGAATTAGCCATAATGATGATGTCTTTGTAGAACACTATATTGATCTTATGGTCTTCCACCTGAAGAGCACTTGTATTTCTCTCTTGATTTTCTCTCTTGATGGGGATAGAAAGAAAGGAACGGGAATGAAACTTACGTTCTATCTACGTGCTCCCAGAAAGGGACCATGACACCTTAAAATAACCAGAATTAGGTTAATTACTTAAGTTTTAGTATTTCTAATTTGACCCCTCATCAAATTAGAAATCGTTCTATGGTCTCTACACAATTTTATTTTCATGACATATGCCTTTAGCAAAAACTTTAATTTAGTCAGATCACTTTATTATTTGGCTTAATAAATAATGGCTCTAACACATTTAAATTATCTATCATATATATACATGACCCAAAATTTACCAACAATAAGAGCTTAGGATTTCACGCGAGTGGGAGAAATGCCAAAAGACGAGAAAGTGAAGATTAATAAGTTGAATGAAAGCGATTTCAGATTTTGGAAGAAACATATTGAAGATTATATGTTTCGGATGAAATTGTACCAACCTTTGTCTAAGAATAAACCAGAAACAATGTCTTAGGTATATTGGGAGTTGCTAGATCGACAGGCTTTAGGTGTCATCAGATTAACATTGACAAAAAACATTACCAACAACATTGTCAACGAGAAGATGACATATGGACAAGACTATGTACGAGACCGTTCTTTGAAAGCTTGTACTTACATCATTCTCGAGATATGGACAAACTTCAGTCCAAGACATCAAATTACATACAATTAGAAGAAAATATTAAGCTGAAGAAAAAAAGAGGAGAAAAGTTGACTAGGAAATAAAGAAAACATTGCAAACAAGCAATTAAAGTGGATCATATATGAAAGTTACACGTTGCTCAACATCTCTTTGAAGGTTATCCACCAGGAAGCATGCAATCTAGAGCTGATGATATTGTCCCAATCCTCTCATGAGTATAAATAGAACCTAAAGATGTGTACCACTAGAACTATGGTCACACCAAAAAGTAACTCAAACATACGAGATGTCTTGGAAGAACTTATTCAATATAGAAAGTTGACATAATTC